CTAAAATTTTCGAGCAATAATTTTCCAAAAAGACATTCTGCAATATGGATATTAGCCATTTGTCCCCTGCAACCACATGAGGTTTGAGCCACTGATTTCAGGATAAAATGTGAGGAATAATACCAACTCTTTTATATTTTTTATATTTTTATTCTTTTGGCATATAGGCAGTCATTTCCGGTAAAAGATAATAAACGAACATACAGACACTTCCTTTTGCACAAATAAAATAAAGGCAGTAAGACATGTAATATTGTCACTGAGTGGAATAACAAATTTAAAGGCAACGCTACCTCGAGTGCACACTTGAATTTTGCAAGTGCTTCATATCCCAGTTTCCTCATATTATCATCAGGTGAAGATAAACTTGCAAAAGTAATCGCAAGCAACCCCAAACTAGCAAACTCAACAGGTTCAATATAGTTCACTGAAAGACAGTGTATCGAGAACCGGAGGATGAAGACAGGATCATATGTTCGCTGATTATCAATTGCAAAACCAGCCTGAGAAAGATTACAGATGCAGTTAATCGTGAATGCACACTGAAAGAAAAAGATGATATCATCCCCATTAAAAGAATACAAATAGTTGATGTATCAAATCAACATTTTAAGATACTGGTGCAACATAGCTCCCTGGGGAAATACCTCGTGTATAACTGTAGAACTAGCCTTTTGAACTTCGTGAGAAGTTCCTCCATTCACAGATCTACCGTAAGGAAAGTACAGCACAGTTTGAGCACACAACTTAGGGTCAACAGGAATATTCTCTCTGAATTTAATCCTCCTACGTTCTTTAACGACTTCCACGCTTCTCGGGTTAATGGACTGCATATATTTGTCCTGTTCCCACTCATTTCTAACTCGTAAGGACGCAATTCCCCATAGGTAATCCATTTGTGCAACAGTACCAGCACTCGACTTATCAGTGGACTCGATCTCCAACAACAGATTATATATTTCCACATCAACTTCAGCACATGTTGCCCCATATGAAGACAAAAGAAGATAGACCAACTCCCTTGAGTTTATGTCAATTTCCCCTCCAAAATTTGATTCTCTATGCTGTGCAATGATTTGGAAAAGAACTCTGACAAACTTTACAAGTTCCAGCAGAACTAAACACCGTTCAGATATTGATTTATTTTTTTCGCCATCTAAGGCATCAGGAGGAACTCTAGAAACAGCAATTGCTCTTAAAATGCTCTGCATGGGAGTGAAAATCAAGCCAAAGTGAGTAGAATCAGACTCACATGCCCTATAAATGGACTCCGCAAATTGTGAGTGACCAAGCAACAAATGGATTAGAGAAGCACATGAAAATTTACAATGCGATAAAAAGGTGAGAACATTTCGTAGCATCTTCAGAGTGACAGGATCAGCAAACCTATAGCGAAGAAATGATTTCACAAGTTGTTCTATAAAGGGAAGAGAATCCAACTTGGTAAGACTATTGTGCACATCTGTCATCAATTCCAATATATTATTCATTACAAACACTTCCAAAAATCTAAACAATGGAAGATTCTTTCCATCAATGTCCCCAAAGTAGTCAGCATTGTACTGAAATTTCTTGACAATTATCTTCCAGGAATTGCTTAGCGACCTCAAAAGTCGTGTCTTCAACATTTCTATATCAGGCGCAACTTCCGTAGGAAGTGGTTTTGTTTCTCCATTATCTAACTGAGTATGAGTGTCATTGTGGTCAGATAACAAGAGCATCCTACAAAAGTTAATCTTTGCAACAACTCTGTTCACAAACTCTAAAGGCTGTTTTAGTGAATGAAGCCCATTCTCACCATGCAAGTAGTCAAAAATATCATCTGCATCGGACGGGCATACAGAATTGAAAAGATCCAACCTCCTATCATCAGTCATTGCACCTTCACATGATGCCAAATGGTCTGCTACCATAGAAATTGCCTTCCCAAGAAGACTGCCTGAGAAAAGATCCAAAAATTCTTCTGTGGAAGCAATCAGAGGACCATCTAGACCAATCTCAGAAATAAACCCTGAGACAAAAATCTTCCACTTAGAAAACCCACCTAATAACAAACGATCATACTCTGATAATATAACTTGAAAGGGCTTGCTCTGTTGATTTCCAAATTTGGGAATAACTGAATTTAAGCACAATGAGATGGTAGGCAAAAGCATCAGTAATTCTTCATCAGAAAAAGAGCAAGTTTCTTGTGTCCCACCGCCACTAGTAAACAACAATTTATTAAGTCTCTCAGTCACCATAAATCCTAAGACAGAAGTATACAGAGGGTTTGTTTCAGCAATAAGATACAACAAGTCCGCTGTTGTTCTATTCACCTTGTGTAAGCAATAAGAGATTATATCCACAGGAGTGCTTGCCACAGCTCTTGATAAAACCATAATAGAAGAAAGATCTGGCTGTTGAATGGCTTTATGCACTTTTATAAAACTGAAAGCTTTAAGCAGACACTTATCAGCAACATCTAATTTAAAACGATAAGCAATCTCAAATACTTGACAGAAAATCTGTTCAAGCAGCAGAACATCAATATGTAGCCCAGTACCACCGAAAGAACTATCTAGTTCATTTTCCAGATATTGCTGCCTCATAGACACTGACAGGGAATCAAAAATGCTACAGGCAAGATGTAAACTGATATGTAGAGCATTCTCCTTGGATGACTTGTGTACTTTTGTGTTGTTCAAATCAATCGGAGAAATCAACCAGTTCACCAGATCAAGCAGCTCAGATGGAGATATAAACCTAACAAAACTGTGCAAAGCATAGAATGTCGGAACAAAAGGCTTGAAGTCTACGGATTGGAAGCATGCATTGAACCTCTTCTTGAAAACCGAAAAAAAGTTCTCTTTCAGTGACTTGAATGCTCTTGATATTTGCTTTCTGCCATTTATAACTTGTTCAGATATCTGATCATCATACGTTGAAGACAAAAGCTCACAAGTTATTCTTACTAAATCCAGGACATGGTGATCCATTTGGTGAACCACTTGCTCGGATAATCTCAGAAGTTTCTCCATTGATTCCCCAAAGACAGAATCCGAGAACTCTACATCACCAAACAGTGGAGAACCCAAGGATGCTGCCACAGCCGGATGATTAAATATGATTTCTGCAACCTCTACAGCATAAAGTACATTAACAGGAATCTTAACATGAGCTGGATTGACAATATCCAAATCTTCAGCCAGTAATTGTTTCAACAAGTGCTCTGCAAGTATAAAGCATAGCTTAGAAAGCATCTTGAGTTCATCCGAGGGTCTGACTCTGTAGCATGAGTTTGCATGATTGGTCCAGAAGAGTACATTGCATAATGAAGAAATCAGATGATCAAATGGAATCCCAGTCACTTTGTCCAAAAGCAATTTTTGAAGCCCTGAGTGCTCAAGTAGATGCATGCTGTTACTTTGTGCAACAGATGAAAAGAGTACACAAAAAGGAGCAACTTTCAAGAATTGACTAAATGCAACAGAAGCAGCTTCTGCTGAATCAAGATTAACGTTATCAGATATCATTTCATCTTCCTTGCAGTGAGTAATACTATCAAGAGCAGCAAAAAACATATCAGGCCATAATTTGAAAACATCACTAAGATAACTTGATTCGAGGAAAAGGATTGATGATAAAACTGAGAAAGGGACCTCATGTAGGTGACTTGAGATGGATAAGACTAATGGAAAATTCTGTAATATCTCAGGAGGTCTTGTGCACATCAATGAGAAGCAAAATCCAACCATCAATCCAACAAGTCCAGTATCATACTCACTTCTCAAAACTCTTTCGATCTCTCTAAGTGTATCGTTAAAAGAATTATTTAACGGCATGGCATTCTCAACACTGGAATAAATGCTATAGCACGTCCTATGAAAAATATCACGCGCAAAATGCAGAAGAATCTTCAATGGCCTCCACTCACAAGGACATTCGGTAAGCTCCAGGATATCAACTTTGCTGTCACAATTCTCGAGTTTATCAGATAATACACGATCAACAAGAAATGACAATGTTCCAGTATCAACCTGGCAAAGTTTAATGCATTTCCGTGGTTATCAAAGGATCAATTATGTTGAGAAAGAAGAAAGAAGAAAGAAGAAAAAACATGAGCATGTCATTTTACCTGTGTATCCAATAGATATTTCATTGTGTTACAAACATAGTGTGAGATCAGTGACTTCTGAGGTACTGTGAAAGATCCAGATTCAGAGCTGAGCAGCCTTACACATTTCTCCAAGATACATATCGTAAACGGACTTACTTTAGGAAATAGATCTGCTTGGAGTATCAAGAAAACAGTTGAGTATCAGTACAATTAAGTTTATAAATCACAATGTGATTTTATGATTTTTAGTACAACTTCTTCTTAGCATATCTACAACTAATTCATAAATGTGTTTAGCATCAGTGGAGCAAAGGAAAATTATATGAAGTGCATTAGTTTCTTATCTGAAGACTACAATTTTCTGTTATAAGTATAGCTGAAACTAACTTCAGCAACATTTGTTGTTTCATTTCTTATTCAATTAAGTGAAGGATTATTCATGATTAAAATGTGGCATAGTTGTGTAGATCGGTTCATTTATTTCACATATTATGGTTTAAACATCCTTTTTCTTTTCCTGAAGGAGAAAGATCAAATGGTGACCTGTAAGATACTTCTTCAAAGATTAAAGACCAAAGTCTTGTATGCGTTATACTGAAAGTAGAGAGAGAAATAAAACCAAAGAAAGAGTGCAAAGCTTGCTCTGTATGAAGCTGTTCAAAAGGGTAATTTTATGGATGTTGTATATAACTAATTCCCTGCAGAAGGCATTTTATTTCAATATTGGAGAATGCACAACCTATCAAGTTTGCAGAGTCTTATGATTTAAAATCAACAAATTGAAATAATTTTAAGGATAAAATAAGAGTGAAATGCTTCTATTACTGTTGAACAGCACTATTCATCCAAAAACAGCTAAAGTGTGGTAATTGAAGCGGCTATCCTTGTCATCATCTCACCAGAAACAATACAACTAGCTGAGCCACCAAACAATAAACCCCGACTGCCCACGCTTTCCATGACCGTATTAATCCAAGACCATTTACAATCATTAATTTCACATTTCAACCCCGTAATTATTCTCATGAAAAGCACAATTCAGAAACCAATTATATGGCATAATGATCGATCAGCTTGTTGTAAACAAGGGTTTTTGGAAATGCAGAACACCGATACTGATGCCGCTGCACTATTTTGATCAAATTTATGTGGAAAAAGGTTCAGAAAAAATATTTTCATGACAAGCACAACTAAATGGAACAAGAGAAATTCTGGAAAAAGCTTAAAGCTAACATTACGTGTATATATTCAGGTCTTGAGGTAGACAAGGTTGAGGCATTGAAAATACATTTGGACATACATTTGTAGATACAATTAGCTTTATTATGCATAAGTGAACAGTACTATCAAACTGGGAGGCATGGATAATAAATTACCTTTACCACCATCTGAATCATAAATATAATGCTTCAAGAATTGCATATACTTATACAAGTTATTTCCTGTTGTGGAAACCGCATCACAGAGAAATGAAACAACGACAAAAGACAACTTCTGCAAGATTTCTTGCTCCAGGTCTTCATCATAAACATGATTTCCATTTGGCCCAGGTATAAATAAGAACCATGCACAAATCTCCCTCCTGTTGCTGTCGAATGCACCAGTGCTTAACATGGCTGCCTTTGCCAAGGAATAAGCTTGCTCCCTAATGTGCCTGACCCGTGAACCAATTAACAAGACGATAAATGGATGTAGGTACTTGTACATTTGTGGTGGGGTTCTCATAGGAGTCGCACCTCTAGAAAACTGGCTGATGTGTTCATTAAGCAGTTGTAAAAGAGACTGCTGCAGAATTGTTGGCAATACCAGAGGATTTTCGGGTAGAAATTTAAACAAATCAAATAATCCTTCAATGGCCGTAGGAATGCTCCGCTGCAAAACAGTGTAAAAGTCTCCAGTGAGTAGTAAGTCGTAAGCATGGGAACCATGTTGACTAAGGAATCGAAATGGCGGACCAAATGTAGAGAAAGGGAAGGTTGGATAAATACAAAATAGTTATTACTCGTTTCGTTGAAAAATTATACATCCCACAGGAAAATCGTTGACGACTTATCCTAAGGAAATAAAGGGAAAAAGTGGCAATTGCTTTCCTAGATATCAGGATAAGTCACATCTTGGAGTAAACAAAAATCGCTATCTTTTCTTTATCCAAATAAAGGTTTAAATATAATGGGAGAACTTATAAAAAAGACTTCAACAGAGTGGTAAAGTATCTCAGATTAAAACATTCCAAGATACTTGACTCTCTGAAGAAAGAAGACGAATCACTTCAACAGATATGTATAAGAGTACAGCCTTCCAAAAAGATTTAGATGTCACAACTTACATAATAGACTTTAAGCGATTCCAGTATCTTGGAGTAAAAATAGGTATCCACATCTTTTAGATCCATAAGAGGCATGGAGCATTGATGTAAACCCCACAGGTCTCTAACACATTTCACAATATCAGCTCCATCTTCTGGTTGTTGCTTGCTGCCTGAATTTGCAACTCCAACATCACCAGATAAACCCAACTCAGAAGAATCGACTCCACTTATAAGAATATCCAAGTCTTCACTTGTATCAAAAGTTTTAGACCTCTTATTAGCATTTAAATCATTCCACGACCCAATTTCTGATTTGGCCTTCCTTTTCCTAGTAGACTCGAGACTCTTGAAGTGGCTGGTTAGAGGAGAAAGTAATGAAAACAGAACTTGGGGATCAGGAAGCCAAATTTGGAAGTAATCCTGGATGTCTGCCTTTAAATTTCTCCATCTATGCATCATTTGATCGTTTGAACGTGAAAAAATGTCCAAAGTGTTCACCAAAGAATCCAATAACTTTAACGCCTCCACTAAAAATTTCAACATTGCATGTTTCACAAGATAATCAGCATGAAGTAACCCTTTGTTTATAACTGATTTCGTGAGAGAGCGTGGAGCTATGCATTTTAAGATACTTTGCACACGCGGACTGCCGTCTGGTTTATCAAGAAAGCCAAATGAGAGCCCATCACTGATTGAGGAAACTACATCTGCAGCCAAAGAAATAGCAGCAAACCTGCAAGTAGCATAGTCACTCAACTTACTGCATTCTAATTTTTAAGAATAACACATTAAACAATCAAGTGGGCAAACAAACAAACTCATGTTCAACGTGTCACACAGAAATCAACCTAAAAACAAACATCATACAAACAAAATAGAAGAAATAAATATTTATAAAAAATCTAACCAGTTATCTGAAGAAAGGTCTTCAACGCTGTAAGGGTACTCGTCAAAATATGCAGATCCGAACAAAGGACGTCCTTTCACAATATCCAGAAGCAAGACCTTATGGTACTCAACTTCTGTCGCCTTCAATTTCTTCATCAAGCCCGTAAGACGCTTCAAATTCCCACGCAGGGGACTCGGCCGCCTGTCCAAATCTGGCATCAGCCCATTCACAGGGTCAGTACACACCATGAACAGTACGGCATGTGCCAAACCCGATGCCTCCCCAAAATTATCCCTCCCCGAAATTTCCGCCAGCTTCTCCAGAGTGACACTCCCGAACAGCACACTTCTTAGACTGGGGGGCACAAGGGACTCTGGCAGAAGCACTCGATCTCGCAAAATTGAAAGAATATAAACTACAGTCTCCTCATCATCATTCCCCAGCCCACGCAAAACCCCCGAGTACATCTCCCTCTGTTGCAAGATGCCCCTGAGTAACCTCGGGTTCCCACTCTCCAAGAACGACATAGCAAAACCAACGAATGCTTTACGCGTTGAGTGACTCTTCCTTTTCCTGTCTGTAGATTTGTTTGCCCTCAACCTCACTTCCGCCAGCTTAGGGAAACCGGCAAGCTTGAAGTCAAAACTTTTGGCCACTTCCCAGGCCAAGTGTGAATTACGTCTGACAATGGTAGCCAGCAACAAAAGCACGGCATTCTGCCGCTTGGCTTCTTTGCTATTCAGCTCCTTATACAAATCCGTCAACTTTTCCTTGATCAGACTCGAGGCAAATTTATCCAAAACCCGACCAATAATAAGTAAACCGCCACTGCCAACAGCATTATTATCCTTCCCGTGCTTAAGAATTGCGGCAACTAAATTCAAAATGTTAACAAATCCGGGTTTACCTTTGTGAAAGTCCCAAGCTTGAGAAATTTCAAGCAATTTGGAAGATGTCTGGAGATATGCATGTAGAAACTCAGGGCCCAAATCAGATTTGATAATTTTTATAAATTCTTTTGAGGATTGAGAGAAAAGATAAGATTCAGAGGACGTCAGGTTACGGAGAAGCTCCTTGAGCTTGGCTTCGTGGTTCATTTGGAGTGTGAATTTGGGGAGCTTTTCCCCTTCATTGTCCTCCATGGCCACACAAGTCGAAAATCATAAATCTACAGGCTAAAACCCTAAACCCCTTTTTATGCACCGTCATCACCCGAATTTTTTAAGAAAAAAAAAAAAAAAAAAAAAAGTTAAGTGGTGGAAAAAAAAAAACGAAAAAAAGGGGTGGAAAGAAATAGAAAGCCCGTATTTTGTTAATACGGTTTTTGAAAAATTTATTTGGAAAACGTATTCCGTGAATATGTTTCCTTTGTAAAAAAAAATATGAAAAACATATTTAGTGAATACGTTTTTTAGTTAAATTATACAAAAAACGTATTTTGTAAATACGTGCTTTCTATGTTGGTCCACTCTCCTTTTTTTTTTCACTTATTATTTTTTTATTAATAAATATATAAATTGCCCGTCATCACCCATATGTGCTTATTTATTTGAAATTTTAAAATAATTGTTTGGTAATTTGTATTTTGAACTAAATAAATAGACTTCCATATTTAAGGTTATATTCATATATGTGAGTTTTTGAATTGATGATGTTATATTAGTTTAATTAATTTTTAACTATTATTAATAGATTATTTAGTTTTATAAAGATATAATTTATTTATTTTTTATAAACTATAGATATCAAATTGAAAATGGTCAAAAGATGATTAATTTGATATTTTATACAAAAATGTGATTATAAAAAAAATTATTAACTTTTAAATATATTTACAATTTAAGTTAGTAAAGTGTTTCATAATTTTAAAAATCCTAATAAGCAGGAATAGAAGTCTAATCTACTTGTAATATTTCAAGCCAAGCAAATAGGATTACGAAACATTAGACACATACATTACGAAGCACCAGAAATCGATACGTATAATCAAAGCATTCTATATTAATATATAGAGAGGAATAATATGTTATTGTCTTAAAAAAAAAAAAAGTTTTTGGCCTTCTTAATTCTCCCAATGCGGAAACTTATAATAAATGCCTAAACAAATTTGATAGTAAATCTATCAAATGACGAGTTTTAAGGAAGTACGAAAATAATAATAATAACAATAATAATAATTATAATAATAACAATAATGACAATAATAATAATAATAATAATAATAATAATAATAATAATAATATAATAATAATAATAATAATAATAGTTTCTACCGTTTTAATTTCACACTTTTGGTTTTGAAAAAAAATCACACTTTTGATGGTATTTACTATTTAGGTTATGTTTAGTAAAATTACATAACGTATAAGTGAATTTCGAGCGGATAGTTGATAGCTTATGAGTGTGTTTGAGAAGCACCAAAAGTAAACGTATAGTTTATTTGGTTAGTTTATAAACTTGCAATGTGCAAATAAACTTTGTTTGGTAGGACGAGATATTTAAAAAAAAATTTCTAACTTATTTCATAAGTTTTCTTGTGTAGCTTTTCAAATAATTTTGTTGAAATTTTAATTCAGTAGGCTTATAAGCTAATTTTACCCAACACTTGTATCATATTAGCTGGCTTTTCAGCATTCACTTATAAGTTAGCTTATCAGCTAAGTTTATCAAACATAGGCTATGTTTTGTAAACCAAATAAGCTAGCTTATAGCTTATTTGGTTAGCTTATAAGCTTCCTGTGTTCAAATAAGCTCGAGCTTATTTGATAAGCTTGTTTAGGTAGTTTTTCAAATAAGCTAGTTGAATTTTTTATTACAGCTAGCTTATCAGCTAATTTTACTAAACACTTTTATCATATAAGCTAGCTTTTCATCTATAAGTCATAAGCTATAGCTTATTAAAATGGAAGGAACATTCTGCTCGCTTTACTGTTTTCTAACATCTGTTCTCTTATTTTTGTTCAATTTTGCAGTTTTCAGTGGCGCTGTTCGCACCGTTCCCTAGCTCGATGGCCGAAGAAGAACCCTATAATTTGCTTCACTACAGATCGAATTCGAAATCCATTGCATAAAGGAACAAGGTTAATTCTGTGATTTTTCTGACCTATGCGCTTCCATTTTTTCATTTTTCTGTGAAGTTTGGGGGACTTGAAAAAATGTACTCTTAAAAAATTGTTTGTTTACTCTGTGTGTATGATTTGTTCGTCTACAGCTGGATGTTTCAAATGAGAGCAGGATTGATTGGGTAAAAGCAAAAATCTTGTTCTGTTTGATTTTGTTATTCATATGTTTGAGTTACTGAATGCTAATTTTTTGGATTCTTTAGTCAATTTTATTGGAGGGATTATTACACTGCAATGTAGTTGTTTTGATTCATGGTCTAAATTGATTGATTTTCTTCTTTTGGTTGCTGTGTAATGTAGCTTAAAACAACGATAATATATATATGGCTTGGTTCCTAGTTCCTACTAGTAAGTTTTACTTTTATTTTTGCTGGCCCCTCGAGACTCTTATTCTCATGTGATGTTGATTAAAATTAGAAGTGTTGTCCAGTGATGTTGATTGCTATGACACTCCTGACTGTGTACTTCCCTGATTCCCAGAGCAAGAAGCCTTGTGCAACAGATTCATTATTCCCGCAATCGATCATGTTCTTACTGCGGTGAAACATCACGTGGTACGTCGCCTTCTGCTTCAACCTTGTGAAACACATCCTCGATGGCCTCACGACAATATTCACACCCGGGGGCTCGGAAATCCTGACGGAGTAACACGAGACAGGCTCGCCCACGTTGGTGACGGTCCGGGAGAAAGTCTGGAGCGGGCCAAGCGAAACCGAGAACGTGGGGTAGTTCAGCTGCCACTGAGGGATTTTGTACGAGCAATCGGCCGGCTCCTGCGTGATCATCTCGACTTGGTCCTCCGTGTATCCCAAGCCGCACAAAAACGGGACGTACTCATCCATCGCAATGTCGTAGACCAGACCGGGATCCAACGCCCTGTTGGGGTTGACGTGGCCGGCCCCCGCCGCGTAGATATTGGCCGGAGTAAGTTTTTCATCGAGAATCGGTATGCCGTGGGCATTGACAAGGTCTGCAGTGGTCATGATAGCAGATTTCAGGGCCGCCGGCGACCAGTCCGGGTGGGCGCTCTTGAGAAGGGCCACAACCCCACTGATGTGAGGACACGCCATCGACGTACCTGAATCGATTTTGAATATGTTCCCGAAATTATCCGGGTCCAGAGGAGACCACCCGGCAAGAATCATTTCCCCCGGCGCAACAATGTCCGGTTTCAAAACTCCGGGAGCTTCGTTGCTGGGCCCTCTGGACGAGAAATAACTGATGGTGGGAGAAATCGGGTACCCTAGCTCCGTCCCCTCGAACAAGATTGTTGCCTTTGGGGAGGATGTCGCCTTTATGTAGGCCTTGATTTTTTGGCCTGCGATAAAGGACACTGTTGTGGATGGTAAGTCGAGGAATTCAGTATAGTGGCTAAACGCAGCGAGTTCGTCGTTGGCCAGTATCATGGCGGCACCACCGGCATCCTTAACTTCCCGGGCTTGATTCACCGGGTCTATTAACGCAGTGACGAGATTGGGTGTGTATATAACTACATCAATGTCGCACAGCACAATCTTATTCCTCACATCGAACCCCGCCAGCGACCCATTGTAGCATTGTTGTCTCCCACCGGAGCTGGTGTAGTACACGAGGGGCCACAACTTTTGAGAAGAGAAGTTTTTGGGCTGGAACACAGACTCCCCGTCGAACGTCATTCCGTTTCCCAACTTTGCCAAGGCCCGAATCCTTCTGTCGATCGTGCTTGACCCCACTGTGAGAAGCCAGGGCGCGTCGTTGACCACTATCCAGGGAGCAGGACCGTAGTTCCCCGCCGACACGACCATGAGGATTCCTTTCTTGGCCGCCTCAAAACCGCCTTTCATTACACTGTCTTCGTAATATGGTCTGGGCCAAAAGGCCAAGGACGCGGACAACACGTCCACCCCATCCTCAATCGCGGCATCGATACCGGCTAGAACGTCGCTATCTGTGCAGACATCAAAGCAGACTTTGTATGTCGCGAGGTGAGCGTGTGGGGCCACCCCGGACGCTGTTCCGGCGGCGACACCTTGGATGCTGACGCTGGGTACGAACGCGCCGACGGCTGTGCTGGCCGTGTGGGTCCCGTGCCCTCTCGTGTCCACCGGCGAGGCAGAGGCATTGCCTGCTTGGAACACCCGCGCGCCTATGAGTTTGTTGTTGCACCTCGACTTCAACTTGTGAGGGAGGTCGCACTGCCCCTTCCAGGTGGCACGCGGGGGAGGCATGCCGGCATCACAGAACGAGGGGTGGCCTGGGGTTATCCCGGTGTCGAGGAGCCCGACAATGACTCCCTTCCCGAGCCCCGTCTGTGGCCAGGCTCCGCTGTTCTGGTTCAGCCCGAGGAATCCCGGGGAACGGGTCGTGTGCGGCTGGGATGCACCATCTGGGAGGATTGAGATAAAGCCTTCCGTGTCCTTGATGAGTTCGACTTGTTCACGAGTTAGCCTTGCTGAGAAGCCACTGACGACGTGCTTGTACGAGTGGATCAGGGAGTCTTTGGCTCCCGTGGGAAGAAATGACTTGTGGTAGCTCCTGATGATGTCCTCGGTTTCGGCAACGCCGGCCGAGCTTGGATTCATCTTCTTCACGTGGACGATGTAAGTTTTGTGGAGGGCTGATGAGGCCGGGAGGAGGAGGAGGAGAGAGAAGAGGGTTATGGGCACTATGAGTGTACTGTGGAAGAAATTAAGGGGAAGAGCCATGGCACTGGATTTTGACTGAAATTAAATTAACTGTTATTGTTATTTGGCTGTGTTTTGCTACTGGTGAGCGCTTTCTCAACCATTGAACTGCATGTCTTTATAGGGATATGGTGAGGGTGAAGCAATTATAACATTGGTGTGATGTAGAATTATATGATTAATTTACTTATATTTTAAAGGTGGCATGCATGATTTAGGTGAAATAATGTACAAACTTAGGTGTATCATATTAGTCAAGTTGGTACTCAAGTACATATTGATATTGTGCACTGAATTCAAAATAACTTTGCGGTATATTAATGGTGCCATTCTTTATATATACCAACACACCATATGGGATTTTCTAGATTTATATTCATTCCTTCTCCGTGTGATTTAAAATTTCAAACACACCATATGGGATTTTCTAGATTTATATTCATTCCTTCTCCGTGTGATTTAAAATTTTCAAACTCAACGTGAACAATTTTACTTTTTCTAGGCCTTTTCGAAAATTTCTTGATGAAGTTTTAAGATAGACATTATTCAACACAACTTATGTCTTCCATTGCTCTCTTCTTTTCTTGATCATCTAAACCAAAGATATATTAAGGCCATAACATCCAAATTCCAAAATTAATTACTTGTTGATGTTCATGAGAATTGTTTTTTTTTAATCAATTATAATAAGAAAATGATTATTTGAATTAGATAAATAATTTGATATACCACTCTACACAATCGAGTTAAAATTATATGATTAACTTATTTATTTTAAAGTACATTGTGTCACGGTTCGATGTATAGTATGATGAAATCGAAGGTACCGTTAGATAGGTCTGAGTTCAAAGCTTCAAAATTAGATATGATTTGTTGAAATTTAGCACCTTGATATTTCATAAATATTCGATTAATTTGTCTAAATTTATGAGTATTAACTTCCATTAAATTTAGTTGTATCAACGATTTAGTCATATAATTCAAAATAATGATGTGGCGTAATACTATATTTCTTATATCATTTTTTTTCTAAATGTATTAGTATGAGACTTATAAAAACTTATAAAGACATTTTAGATTTTTTGAGACTTTTTTAGATTTTTTTCATGACATTTTAAGATTCTCTTCAGTTTTCTTTGCTACTTTTTTAGATTTTTTCATGACATTTTAAGATTCTTTTAGACTTTTATTATTATTTTCCCGTTAAACACACATCACATTATTATGTAAACACATGTTTTGAAAATTAATGTAATCCTAAGACATAGAACATCGATATATTTCTTAGACTTATATATATTACACATGGTAATGATACATGACCATATTTTTTAAATATTAGAGAAAAGTTTCATTATAATAATAAAATAAAAATTCAAACTTATATATATTACACATGGTAATGATGCCTTATGATGACCATATTTTTTAAATATTAGAAAAAAGTTTCATTATAATAATAAAATAAAAATTCTAATTCTTGAAGGACGAGGACTGTTTGAGGTGTGAACGTTCAAATACAGTTCGTGACACAAGGTGACGTAACAAATACGAGTCTTGAAGCTCCTAAGAACATAAATTAGAGAGAAAAAATGAAAAAGAGCTAATTCCTAAACTACAAAGTGTGAATGAAAGTGTGATCCTAAAATACAAAGGACTGAGTCTATTTATAGTCACACCACAAAAATACGCTAAAATACACACGTATTTAATGATCCATACACACAAATTTAATGATTCAAATTCGCTAGGAAAGGTTGCACTCACGATGTGGTTTGCTAGCGAGTGTGTTGGGTAGTGCTAGGCCGTACTCACGCGGTCACGTACCTGGTCCCGCGGTTGAGTGTGTGGGAGCTCGCGGACAGACTCGCGCAGTCGCAGGCACACGTATGCGACCTTCTCTCGACAACGTGTGTGTTGTCCCTTAGCGACGCACGAGCAAGAGGCTACTAAACACGGGCTGGGCGACGTGTGCGAGAGCACGGGGCTGGCCACGACATGAGGGATATGGCACACAAGTTGCCTAGGCACGTGCGGGTTGTGCTCGTTCTGAGTCGCGGGTCCATCGGACGTTGACTGGGTTGACCGACCTAGAACTTTGTGATGAGTTTTCCCGCGAATTTTGTGGTGACTTTCCAACGAGTTTCCCAGCATATTTCAGACGACATCAAGCCTAAATAGAGCGCATTTTTCTACAAAATAAGATAAAAAAAAGAGACAGAAAAGCAAAAAAAAAANNNAAAAAAAAAAAAAAAAAAAAAAAAACTGAAACGACACGAAAACACACAAACGAGTAAAAATGACTAATTAGATCGAGTAAGCCTAAAATAATAAACTAAAACTCGCACAAATTAAATACTCAAAAACAGATAAAATAACAACAAAACATACAAAACTAACAGCAAATGGAATGAGCTAGAAAACCTAATCAAAACACACCCCTCGGCCTCCCCAAAACCCTAGTCGCAACCCAACCTTGTGCCATGCCCTAAGTTCACCTATTCAGTTTACTATCACTGATTAATCCACTCTAGATGAGTTGGTTGAGATGCAGGATTCAGGTAGACATAACCCATTCGCCTATGCGACCTCTAGGCATATTATACCTTCAAGTTCTTATGCGAGTGTTTTTCCCATTTTTATTGCGTTTTTCATTATTGTTTTGCGTTTCTTTTTAACTCATTTTATTTATTATCTATAGTTTTTAGTCCGCTTTGTGGTTTGTTGCGTGTTTTCTTTTATTTTGACATTTTTTGTGTTTTTGTTTGTGTCTCTCGATTTTTTTTCATGTTTTTGTCTTTTTTTGGCGTGCAGGCCGAGAGCTTTGGGCGGATATGATTTGAAGGAAAAAATGTTTTTGTGAGCATAGTTATGTAGAAGGGTTCGTTGGCGACGCGTAGGAAAAAACTGAACTCAATTCTGAGTTCGTACAAGCTCAAACGAGCCCGAAACGTAAAGCCGCGCGCAACAACTCAATTTTCTTCACCGCGGGCAGCGGAGGAATCCCGCGGCCGCGGAGGTCGTGACCAAATTTTTAAAAGCTTGATTTTGTTCGTTGTTTCGAGTACTTCACATTGGACTCGTTTCCAGACCTAAAAAAAGACTCCATATTCGTTTTCCCTCAATTTTTCTCCCTTAGAAACATGGTTTGATCTTGTAAGGTGACACTCCAAGAATTGATTTGAAAATAATTTCTTAGAATTATTTCTCCGTTTTTTATTTTTCTCTCATGCTTGGATTGTTTGAAACAAAGACATTGAGATCGAACTCTTGCAAGTCCTAATCTGGTTGTAAGTTTTCAATCCCATTTTAGTATTGTTGATTAGGTTTATGTTCATCAATCTGATCAACATGGAATTGAATCCAAGAATGAGGTAATTCACTCACCCAAGGTTAAGGATTTTGATTCTTGTTTTGAATAGTGTTGAATGTGTTTTGTTCAATCTATGTGAGTTGCTCGATTATTAGGGATTCGTTGATTGTTCATCTGCTAGGAAACGACCTTTAGAACCGAAAGGGGATGGGTGTTGAACCTAGGCTCGTATGAGGTGAACGCTTTCTTCTAATCCATTTAAACAACTTTTAGAACCGAAAGGGGAGGAGTTGTTCGACCTAGGCTCGTATAGAGTAGACTTGTTCATAAAAGTATTGTCTATGAGTTTCTTGATTGAATGAGTTTGTCTTTTATGTGTGTTCTTTTGTTACGAAAAGTTATTGAGCGTAATCCTCTGGAAGTTTAGGCTTGTTGAATCATGTAACAAAACAAATAAGCGTTCAACATAGTTTAAGACTTGATGTGATTTCCCGACCCCTACAACTTCTTCTATTTCTCTAGCAATTTATTTGTTATTTCATTAGTCACTTTCCTAAATTAGTTTTAGATATTTCTCCAAATCATCCTTGATTAGAGTGTTTAGGACAAAATTGGAAAATGAGATCGAGATACTCACATGGGGCTACAACAAGAACCTTAAATAGGTTAGGAATACATCTCTCAATAGGTCAAGAAATACTTGAGTTGCGATTCACCTCATTTCTATGTAAGGATGTCAAATAAAACTCGTAGGGTTGGGTTACTCGCGGGTTACCCGCATTTTTGGGTCGGGTAAACCTGAGATGATTGGGTTTCGGGTCGGTGGGTAGAATTACGCTACCCGAACCCCGGGTCGGGTTGGGTGCGGGCATAGTAGGCAAGGCCATTACCCGACCCGATTACCCTACCATTTTACCTGCAAACATTGAATCATATATATATATATACATACACACACACACACACACACACACACACACATATATATATATATATATATATACACACACACACACACACACACACACACACATATATATATATATATATATATATATATATAACCTATAATAAATATAAAAGTAGTCATGTTTATTTTTAAAAATTAGATTATCAATTATAATTTTGATTAATAGTTAAATTTATTTTATTTATTATAATTTTATTATCATTTTTTGTTAAGTTTACAATAAAAAATTAAATACTTAATTTCAAATGTTATAATGTTAAATAGACTATAAAAGATAAATAATCATATCTTATTATTTATACCAAAAATAATATAATTTTTTATAGTTTTTTTATTGTCAAGATTAGTTAATAAATTATTTCTTACATTATAATTAATTGTGAAATTATTTTATTTTATTTTTTCATATGAAACGAGATGGGTCGGATAAAACCCAAATTTAAGACTCGGATTACCCGTTTACCCGCCAAAAACCCACTAACTCGTCGGGTAAAACCCAATCCGAACTCTAAGATTACTAGCCGAGTAACGGGTCGGGTTTGGGTAGAGTAAATTATATGCAGATGGAGTTCGGGTTTGCCAAAACCCGTACCCAACCCGACTCATTTACATCCCTATCTCTATGGTAGAAAACCATTACAATTAATTTAATTAAATTCAATCATATATTTTTTTTATTATAATATTATAATAATATTAATACCAACTAATAATAATTTTACACTAAGTGTTATATAA